GTTAGAATGTTTGTAAGAGTTTTTAAAAACTGGAACCAAAGATGCCATTTTCGAGCAGGTAGAAAAACAAAAATTAAAATAAGATTTTGTCAAGCACTTATTAAATAGTTTAGAGAGAACTGAAGAGAGTTCTAAAGAACACTTTTATAAGACTATGACATGAATGTGTCTGGACCACAAGCCATAGAAGAGTTTAAATAAGGTATGACTTTAGCAACAGTAGCTGAAATGATTTGAATGTCTAACAATAGGTTTACCTGTTTAACTGGAATGGAAGGAAGAGTATAAACTTAAAATTCAAGAATTAAACAAGAAAAGTTTTTTGCCATTAGTTCAGCCTTATCTTTGGATGTGTAATAAGATCAATCCTTTGAATGAGAGATAGAATGTTTAACCTATTTTTATTAAAGACGCTGCTAAAGATTCTCTAGAGCCTAATGTCTCTAGAACCTAACATCTGAGATATGAGATAAGTTATGTGGGAAGGTGCATTTATCAGCGGAGAGAAATCATCACAAAGAAATTCTAAAGGAATCCCACTTAACTTTAGGATAGTAGTAAGTAGTGTGATGATAGGGCAAGTCCAAAGAAGTATGAGATGAAAGATTTATTGAGATCATTGCATGGTCGAACCACCTAAAAAAAAAGAAGAAGCTGAACACAAGCTAGGGTCAGAGACAAGACATGTCATGACAAAGCAGTATTGTTTCGGCGTTGCTAATTCTTCAGGACCAACTAAAAGCTAATTGCTTTTTGTAAAAAAATTCAAATATACATTTGTATTTGGAATGTGGTCCAACATGCTTAGAAGATCTGATACGATTTTTCAGTCAAAAAAAAAAAAAAATCACCACGCAAACTGAAAAAGTATTTTATTTAGAAATAAAACTGTTCAAGAAAATATTTTAAATTTTTTTTAAGAAAATTCAATGTTTCATTTAATGAAAGACAAACCTAATTTATTACTTTTAATATAATTTGAGGTAGAGAAGAAGTTTGCCTTACTCCTAACCGAGAATTATTTGGATGTTTACTTTTTGTTGTTGCTGCAATTAAATCTAAAACAATTTTAGCTGAATGAGCTCATTCTTACGGGGTAGACCCCAAAGGTTCAGCTTGAGTTAATAAAATTAATCTGTCTAGTCATTGGTTATAGTAAAGACCATGGTGGACTTTGGTTCTTTAACACGTTAATTTCGAAAGGGTAGAAAAGTGACAAGTTGGATAAGATGATTTTCTTATAAACAAGACTTAAACATAATGACAAGTTAGCTTTTGTTCAGTATGTTGACTTCTGTTCAAACACCTCCTCCAACGCTAACACTTTCATAGCTAATGTGTCTGAAATAAAATCTCCGTAGAGTAATAGTCACAACCAATAGTTTTGAGGGCCTCTGTGCCAATCTGAATTGATTTGGTTATTTCTAGGAGTGTTAGTTCTTCTTCAAGTTGTGGTCAGTAGATACCCCTAAAAAGAGTGATTCTTTTTTGAGCTTCAACTTTATCCAAAAATGTTCAATGGAGTTATGTTAAGCTGTTTAATATTTGTGAGTGCGCAATCAAGATATCTTTCTCATAGATTGCTTCACCACCTCCTATCTTTCCGGTCCTGTTTCATGTATGAAAATTATACCATGCAATAACAGTATCTGAAGTACCAGTATACGTAACTGTATACTGGTACTTCAGATATACGTATACTACCGGTATACGTAACTGTATCTGAAGTAAACCACGTCTCAGCAAGAAAAATAAAATATTTGTGGTTATGTTGGAGGTTGATTGTGTTCTGGTTTCAGCTTGTCAATTTTTGTTTAATTTAGTGAGCATGGATTATTTGCCCAAAAAATGATGTTACTGATAACCTTTACTGGATAAGTTTTTGATGATTCAGGCAAATGAGATACGATGGGGAAATGTCTAATAGACGATATTCGACATTTTTTTTATACCGGAATAATTAGAAACTTAAATCTTTCGTGTGTATTTTACATAAAAAAGTAGATATAGAATAAATAAAATAGACAAACAGCATTGAAGTAACAGTAGAATTTAGTTTATATTAGTTAAATTATTTGTTTTATATGGCTACATCACTTTCTTGTGTTGTTCCAATCACTTGTGTTGTCATTGGTTGTTCCAATCACTCAACCGAACTTAAAAAATGGAAAAAAGCTATTTGTGAAATTCATAAATGTTCAAGAGAAGATTCTAATTGTTGCTGTTCTGAACCATTTAAACTTATTCCTTTTCATACTGAAAAAAAAGACCCAGACCGTCGATCTCCTTGGAAAAAATTAATAAATCGGGTAAATTCAGACAAATCTCAATGGGAAGCTACTAAGTACAGTAGAGTTTGTTCACAACATTTTATTAATGAAAAATATGAATATCCTACAGAGCTATTGGGATACAATGCATTAAATAAAATAAGACAATTGGTTCCTTCTGTTTCATCTAATTATAATCGACCAATAAATAAACGAAATAACAACATGCTTTCTGATTCATTTTCAACAAAAACCGCCACTATATCCGCCTCTACTTGTAAAACTGCATCTGTGATTACAGCAGTTAATAAAATAAATT